GAGTCTCTCAAAATGGTCTAAATCGTCTCTCAAAATTCTCAAATAAAAGACTTTCTCAAATTTTTTGAAAAACTCTTGTAATTTAATATCATTATTTATTATTTTAATATTTGTTTTTAGATGAGAGACTCTCTAATGGAGATAGTCTCACAACTTTACCTATAAAGCCTATAACTCGTACCAAAGTTCCATACGAAAAGGGTTATAGCCCAATGGATTGGATGAAACTTACACGAACACACCCCGATCTTGCACGTTAAAAGTTTACTCTCATCTGTTTCCTAAATGCATTTCGATGTGTTACATGAAACGACAATTTTGTTTTTAGATGCCTGAAGGGAGAGTCAAGCAGGAGGCTTATTACGATGGATGAAGTAAAGAAGCATCGATTAGGAGATTCGATGTGGACTGTTATGAAAGGTCGAGTGTACAACATAGCGCCTTACATGAAATTTCATAATCGAGGCGTCGATATGCTGATGAAAGCTGTTGGAAGAGACGGTACGTTCTTGTTCAACAAATACCATGCTTGGGTCAATTTCGAGATCTTGATTGAGAAATGTCTGGTTGGAGTTTTGGATGATACCAAATCGAAGAAGCAAGAAGCCTAATAATTTGCTAAACAGGTGAGATTATCATATACACGTATAGAAGATTCATAAGTCAATAAGATTTTCTTAGTGCTTAGACACTTTGATTCTTCAAATCACAATATGTTCTGTGTATTAGACTCTTTAATGTCAATAATGGTTAAAAGGTTTCCACAATCATTGATCACAATACAATAGATGAACATTAGATAATAGATTTCAATTCGAGTTATCTTAGTTATTACAAGGAAAACAATACAGCAAATACTAAACATACAAAGCAAAAGGGAAATGAATCAAGGAAAATCAAGCAGACATGCATCCAACACCATAGCGAGTGGTTGGAAAAACAAGAAACAGAGCACTACAAACAATTCCGACCATTAATGGAAAACTCTCCATAACTTGATCAATCTCTATTAGAATTCACTCGATCTGATTCTCATTAAATGATAAATGATGTAAAAGCCTCTATATATACACATGAATAAGCTAAAGGAGACTTAACCAATATACTAAGCCAATTATATATTCTATC